ATCAGACTAATCGTACCAATAGAAATAGTAATAATCGTCAAAATCCTCATTCAATAGCAAATATTGTTGGTATCTCAGCTGAAGGTTATTATGATTCACAATCAAATGTTTATGGTAACTCTCGTGATAATCAACAACAAAATCGTATCCCTCCTCCAACCGCAACTAATCTTCGAGTGTTGGACTCTCCATCACGATCACCTTACCGTCGTACTCGTACTGAACAAGAAAACGATGATGAATTCCAAACTGTTACAAACAACAAGAGACAACGGCAATTAAATAACGAATTTGTTGATCAGTTCGATGATCAGCAACAGAAGTATAATAATCATTATTCACCTCCACAACTCCAGCAACAAATTTATAATAATAATAATAATTATCGTCCACTTCTTAATTCACAGCAACAACCTTTGAGAACAATCCCTTCTAGTACAAGTCCAATCTCAAATCGTAGCCAACAAAATCAACTTACGGGTCAGCAACAAAGTCAAGAACAACAAAATAGAATTTCATCTGAAGCTGCTCGGTATGCACAGACACGTTTTCCATTTCAACCTTTCATCATTCGTTTTTCTTCGGGCGACGTAAAAGATAAACAAGCGGCACAAGAATTATCAAAACATTTCAAAGAAAATCATCGTTCAGATGTTTCCATCGCTAATATTCGTCGTTCTACATTGAAATGTCAACAAAATGAGTATGATTTATTAATTTATGTTAAAGATTCTTCTTCATTTACTTCACTGTTTCGTCAACAAAATTGGCCCCAACAAATTGGCGGTGAAAAGTTTATGTTTCCTTCAACACCGTCTTTCCCTTCGCAACTCTCATTTATCATTAAAAACGTGGACTTACGAACTAATTTCGACGACTTTTCGGACGACTTGAAAACCACGTATCCTGAAATTCATTCTGTTATTCGGTTGAAAAATAAACATCAAAATAGTATAAAATTAATCAAAATCGAAATTCTATCCGCAACAAAACGTGAGGAAATATTAACTGTTGGAAAAATCATTGTGAACAGTATGACATTCGATGTTGAAGAATATTTAGCACCCGCTAATGTATTAATCTGCTCAAAATGCATGGCTATAGGCCATTTTAAGAAACAGTGTACTCAAGTGAACGAAACATGTAAAATATGTGGAACATCCTGTGCTGACTTACTTCAACATAATTGTACGATGGTCAGTAAATGTATTCACTGTGATGGTGATCATAACTCTAATGCATTGAAATGCCCAGTCGTTAAGAATTTTCGGGCTGAATTAACGAAAAA